GACTTCCGTAGTAAGTTCGTTCTAATTGGTCAATATTAGCCGGGTAATTGATAGGTCCAAGATTTACTATCTCACACTAGTAAATATTGAAAGTGCCAATATTTATCAAATAATCCTATTTTTTAGTTAATTATTGGCTTAGTTTAATAAACCAATAACTCTTTTATATTGTAATTAAGTTATTGGGTTAAATGTTTCTAAAGCTCTTTGTACTAAAATAATATCATAATTTTGAGTAGCAATTAGGTTTCTATTTGAATAAGGTTTACTTGAATAAAACAAATAAAACAAATAAAATGAATAAAACAAGTAAATTTGAATAAAATGAATAAAACACATAAAGTGAATAAAATGAATAAAACAAACAAAACACATAAAATGAATAAACTTGAATAAAATGATAAAATGAATAAAATAGAATTTGCATTATGGATAGAAACCATGCATTGATATTAAAATCAATAAAGCAACAAATAAATAAATCAACAAATAGCTTTTATTGCGAAATAATTAATTTTGTTCCTTTGGTTTAATGATTGAATCAATCACACAAGTAGTATATAGTCAATTTAAACAGCATTGATTTTAAAGAATTTATTCATCATTAAATGTATATAAAGTTTAATGCTGCAAAAAATTTTTTTTTTGATACATCACTCAGTCCAAAATCAATCATATTTATATACTTTATCCTTTGCTTATTTGTTTTAGTAGATTCAAATAGATTTTATTAATCAAATGATATGCTACAGCAAAATTTTGGAGAATCAATTATGCAAAAACACACATAATAAGTATACATAGCTTGTAGCCTAGATACTGTAAAATACACTACCCAGACAAAAGTTTATGCAAAATGCTACATAATAAGAATACATAAAATTTTAACATTAGATAGCCTAGGTTCTTGCTCGTTTTCATATAAATTTTGATGTTTTTTGTACAGTGCAAGTCACTTAGTCCCACAACTTTTTATTGGTCATGTAGATTTTCAAATTCTCCAAAAATAGAAATGCAACACCCCAAAAATAAATCATGTATTTGAAACCAAGACCTTCCTCTACAAAATCACGATTTCATTCCATTGATATGTCATGTTGTTGTGGAGGATTTGAGCTTTAAAGTTGCACAAAGTTTACCAAATTTACTATTCTTGGCCCTAAAATGGCCAGTTACACACAAAAAAGTTAATATCAAAAATAGACAAATTGAAACAAAATAAAAATTTGAAAAATTTATCTTATATTGCAGATCTTTTGTCACGTGAATTTTCCAGATGAACAGGAAGATAATTAATTATCTTTATTATTAAAAAAAATACAAAGAACAGCTAAGTTCATTTATTTTAATTTAATAAATAGATTATTGCATTGATCAAAGAATGTGCAAAATATACTGCTATCTCCCACCTAGCACCAAAAGTATATTTTATGGAAGTATATATATACATTTTGTTTCTATTGCTAATGTCAAAATTTCATTTTAAATTTAACTATATATTATCTAATAATAAATCATATAAATGTGTGTGATGATCTTTGAAAATCATGTGACCATAAAATTTTTATTGCATATTTGAGTGGAAATTTTTTCTCAAAATTGGCCACTGTGGCGCAGAAAGTTGTGGGACTAAGTGACTTGCACTATACTTCTTCTTTACATCCTACGTGTTCACAATATTTATGTTCCTCACACTTCTCCCCCTTTGTTTTTACACTCTTGTCGCATGCTTCTATAAGGCATTCATATGTTGGCTTCCCATCACTTCCTAATCCAGTTGTGGTTGAACCAGAGCCACTTCTGCCCTGATTTTGAATAGTCACTACTGGCACTTCATTACTTCCTGATCTGGAAGCCGAGTTAGAGTTAGTTTGATTTGAACTTTGGCTGATTGATGTTTGTTGCTGTCTTTTTGCCTCCTCATACTTCTTATCCCAACACCCTTGACAAAATTGTGAGGACTCTCTACATTTTGGTTCATAACATTGCCAGGTCTCACACATCTTATTTACATTCTCCTGACATTCTGCACAAAAATCCCCTGATGCTTCTGCAGGTTGTTTACATCCAGACCATGCACATGGTGCTGGTTCTTCCTTACTATGATTTTCACAATTATGTTTCCCAGGTTTTCAATTCTTATGAAACCCAGGTACCTTACATTTGTAACGACAATTGCCACACCATTTTCTAACTTCAGGTGCTGTTCCATCACATCCGTGGTGAGCACACTGATTACAACTTCTACACTTTTCACCTTCATAATTAACTGGTTCTTGACAATTCTTTGACCAGCAATGTGGCTTAAAATAATTCCCAAATGTTCCTATTATATTGTATCCTTCAGTTAATCCACTGGTTGTAGAAGGGGCCATAGCGGCTACTCCTTGGAAAATATTGGATAGATTTCCAGTTGTTTGGCTTGCATCCATTGCTGTCATGGTGCTCATTTTTGTTGGGCTAGGTATTTGAATTTCCTTGTCTGGATCTTCTGGATCTGTTTCTGAGATTATTTCCCTCTCTTTATTTTTCTTTTCTGGACTTGCTTCCTCACTGCTTGAAGTATGTCAAACGTACAATGTATCTGACTCTTGGTCTGAGTTAATTTCATAAGGTTCAACAGGTTCCTGATTTGTTTTGTTCTCAAATTCTGTTAATTTCTTTGCTAGACTTTCCACTGTCTCATCTAAGGTTGTGAGCGAAACCTCCTTAGCAATTGCTGAAACCATGGCAAAACTATATTAAATCTTATCAAAAATTCTGTTGAAACTATGCCAAAATGGCGAAACCTCAAAATGCGAAACTCTGCCAAAACTCTAATAAACAATTAATGTGTAACCTGCTGAAACCCTGCTGATTGATTTCTGGATGAGTTTTGGCAAGCAACCTTAGTCTTGTCACTGTCCTCTTGATCTGAACCTGTAGAGTCTGTGTCTGTATCTTTGTTTTCCTCCTCTGTGGTTTCTTGTTTATCCTTTATATCCTTCCCCTGATTGCATAGTAGAAAAATGAGATACAAGGCTTGGAATATTTTCTTTATATATTAAAAACATATGTGTAACCAAATTTATAAGGGTTGTTACTAAAAATAGATTTATTGTCTGGAAGGTTGATTTTCCTAGTACAAACCCCATTTTGTAAGTTTAAAAAAATTAATTTAAAAATAAGTTAATAAATTAGTTTCGACTAAATAAAACGTTTTCTTAAATTACTAAACAAAATTCTTCGTCAATAAAAACTAATTAGTTAGTAATAGTCAATTAATTCTGATCCACATAGTCATAACTTTACAATTAATACGCTTTCCAAATAATAATTGGTGAAAATACATCAATTTTTACAAAGCATATTTTCTTTTATAAGCTTGTTAGTTTTTGCGACCCATCAACGCTCATTTCCTCCCATTTTTTAGAAAGTTTCGTCAATTCCTTCAACAATAACTTTTTTCACATTTTCAAAAAAGGTGTGGTTTTTAATATTAATTAAAAATAATAATGAATTAATTTCCAAAATCATTATGTTTTTTCAAAAAAGGCATGGTCGTTTTTAATATTAAGAAAAATAATACAAGATTTTAGCAATTCCCATATTTTGCTTAATATAAATTTGGTTCAATTTTAAACCATTTATCAGACTCACTAGTTTGACCTATATTTTTGTGCTAATTCAATATTTTTTGGTTGGGTTTTAGTTTGTTTTTAATAAACATAATTTGCGTTGTTGTTCAGCAGTGATATATACACGTTTTTTAATAGATGGTGATGATGATTGTTTTTGAGACATTTTCAAAGGCTTTAATTGTAAGAAAGTTTTTGTGTAGGATTATAAAGAATTTGATAAAAGAAAATTTCATCTTTATTTATACAGATTTTTTGTAATTTGATAATGTCATCTTTTTAAACAATTTTATTATTATTGTTCGCTTTCATCTTTAATTTTATTGTTGTCATTTTGGCTTTCACCTTTTTATTATTATTTGAAAATTTGGATAAAATATTCTTTAATTAATCAATTTTATTATTGTTGTTTTGGAAATGGTTTATATTAATATCACATGAATTCGTTGTAACGCGACTAATACCTACCATTAAAATCCTATCAATAAATTCGTTGTCCATTTTAACGCGGTTTAAATATGAAATTCGTTGGGAAAGAAAATATTTAATTAATTAATTAAAAAAAGAGCCCTGAAGCGAAACGAAGTTCGTTGAGAATCGTCGATCATTAGAGTATTTGGAAATTCCAAATTTGGTATATCCCTGAATGCAATAACTAAATTTTTGCGTCTGAATTATTGCTAAAATAAAATTTTTTTATAATAGCAAAATGGAATGTAGAGAAAAGTCTATTGGAAATAAGAAAAGAAAATCAAATGTTGAAGAAACAATTGATAGCAATGTAGGCAAATTATATCATTTTCAAACGAATAAGACTGATTATGTCGTTTTTGATTGATTAACTTAGATTTTTATGATTTTAATTCATTTGCTATCAACGAGAACAAATATAATAAAGTTCGGTTTACCTTTAGATTTGGTCCGTCAATGCTATTTATTTCTCCAAAGCCAATCAACGCATCTCAGAAAAAAATGAAGCTCAGTTCATCATTGCCACTTTCATCATCGTCAACAACATCACCACCTTCCAGTCCTTTTAAAAAATCTGATCCATCATCATCACCCACTACCAGTAGTAGATTTTCTTATTCCTTTTTACATAAACAATGTGTAAAAAGACTAAAGGCTAGTTTTACACCACTTCGTAGAAATAGTCAACAAAAAGTAGAAATCAATGACAAAGAAAATCTTAACACAATCAATAATAATCATTCTGAAAACACGAGAAATGTAATAAATCAATCAAATCGCACAAATAATAATAAAAACTATAGTAATACTAACAATAGAGATACTAGTAATAAAGAAAATGTTTTTATTAATAAAATAAATAGGTATAATAAAATTTTTTACTTATTCAAGTATCATCTATTTAAAAAATTTTTTTTAAAATTTGA